GCTCCATTCGGTTCAGGTGTGCCCCATCACCCCCCGCCAGCCCTGGCTATTTCAGCACCCCTCCTCTCTCACGCACCCACTCATGTCGGGAGCCTGGCGAAGGGCGGCGATTAAGGGACGAGGTGATGCTGATAATTAGGGGGAGGCAGCCGACTCGTCACACTATTTAGTGCTTTGCTGTTTATTCACCCTCATGTTGTTCCAAACCTGTGTGAGTTTGTTCCTTCTGTGGAACATAATAGAAGGCATTTAAAAGGGATAGTTTACCCAAAAATACAAATTCTGTCATTAATTGCTCACCCTCATGTTGTTCCAAATCCGCAAGACCTTTGTTCGTCTTCGAAACACAAATTAAGATATTTTTTATGAAATCCGAGAGCTTTCTGACCCTGCATAGGCAGCAATGGGACTGAAACGTTCAAGGCCCAGAAATAGTCCATGTGAAATCAGTGGTTAAAATAGCCCATGTGAGATCAGTGGTTCCATTGTAATTTTATGAAGCTACGAAAATACTTTTTGTGTGAAGAAAACAAAAATAATGACTTTATTCAACAATTTATTCTCTTCCATGTCTGTCTTTGCCATGCGTTCACAAGAGTATCACGACGCATGTGTGCGGTGCTGCTGAAGCAGGAGCTGGTGTTATGATGTAGAACGTCCATCTCTCTTAGTTCATCGTCTGTATATTGTGGTTCAAATAAGTAAGGCTTGTCAAAAAATTGCAAGTCATCCTCTCTGTCGAAATCTTCAGACATGCATTTATCTAAGGTGATTTTGGAAGTTGTTTTTTTTTAACATTTGTTTCTTATTTATTTGGTTCCACTGTGTTTGCTGATTTTTACTTTATTTAAACTTTGTGTGGGCTATTTAATTTTTTTCAATTTACATCAAGGTGCATACCATGCCTCCAAGCTTTCTTATTCATTTTGCTAATAAATGTTCTGTTTCTTATTTATTTGGTTTAACAGTGTTTGCTGATTTTCAGTTTTGTGTACCTTTGTGTATAGGGTTGCAAAGGGGTGGAAAATTTCCGGTAAATTTCTGGAAACTTTCCAAAATACCTGGAATATTCCAAAAAAATCCTGGAAAGTTTCCAAAATTTCTGGAATATTTCCGAAATTTACTAGAAATGTTCCACCTTTTTGCAACCCTATTTGTGTAGCCTAAGTAATTTATGTTATATTAGGCATATAGCATGGTGTATTTTTATTAGTTTTGTTTATAAAAGTTTTATGAGTTTGACTTTGTATTACTTTGTTTCCTGAATTGAATCAACGCCAAATTGCTGCTAATTTGAAAGTTAAAGTAAAATGCACACGGCGCTTTTACAAGCAATTTAAAAGCAAAGGAAAGCGAGGAAAAAGGAAAAGCGGGAAAGCCCCCCACCAACGGTGATAGCGGTATTACCGGTGTTGTCACACGTCGATTAACAGATGGGAAAACAACCCTAATGTCACATGGACTATTGTAATGATGTCCTTACTACCTTTCTGGGCCGTGAACATGGCAGTTGCATTGCTGTCTATGCAGGGTCAGAAAGCTCTAGGGTTTCATTAAAAATATCTTAATTTGTGTTCCGAAGAGGAACGAAGGTCTTGGGTTTGGAATGACCTAAAGAGTGAGTAATTAATGAAAGAATTTTGTTTTTGGGTGAACTAATCCTTTAAGAATGTTGGTAACCAAACAGTTGCTGGTCCCCATTGACTTCAATAGTATAGAAAAAAAATATGGAAGTCAATGGCTTAGGGCTGTGCAAAAAATCGAATGCGATTTTCATGCGCATCTCGTCAGTAAAGCCGCTCCTGTGATTAGTAGTAAATCTCCAGCACGTGCTTTCAGATGGAGCGGCATTTACTACACAGAGCCATAGATCACTGACAAGCTACACAAAATCGCGTTCAAAATCGCATTCGATTTTTTGCACAGCCCTACAATGGCTACTGTCAACTGTTTGAATACCAACAATCTTCTTTTGTGTTCAGCAGAAGAAAGAAATTCATGCAGGTCTGGAACAACAGGGTGAGTAAATTATCACAAAATGATGATAATTAAATTTTTGGATGAATTATCCCTTTAAAAGTGAGAAGTCATGAAGAGAAGCGTTTTCACATGAAGAACAATAATGGGCAAACTGGGCGCTATCTTTCTGTCGGTGTGCTGGATCAGTGTTATTGCAGTGTGATATGAGTCTTTGCACTTATATTGCTTTGCTTATTTATGAGCACATTTCCGTACAGCCTTCCTCTTCTGACCTTGCTCTTCATTTAAGGTCATCTTCATGCTGACTGGCTCTGCTTTATTAATGATTTTATCTGATCTTTAAAATTGGTCATGGGTGTGTGATTAAAAAAAAGGTGTGCTTGAAACGATGAACCCTGCATGGAATATTTCTTTTATCCCAGCTTTGTTGCCGTCAGCTACACTTTCATAGCTCAAAGTGCTGCATCAGGCTGTATATGGAATGAGTTTTTTTTTCTTCACCTTTTTTCTTTTGCATTTGTCTTGTCTTTTTCCACTTTTTCTCTGAAGTGTGAAAGAGAAAGGTGTGCCTCATGGCTCCCTCTTAAAATCACTGACCTAGAAACACCGCTTCAGAGCTTCTTTGACTTCTTTCTCATTTGTCAGCCTGTCTCAGTTCTCCGCTTAGCAGTTATAACATCTCAGCAGTCCATGTCAGAAATCCTGTCACTGCTGACGGTGTTCATAACAGCCGTGTTGCGCTTCCCAGGTCAGATAGCTTCATTTTTTTTCTGTTCACCTTCAGGCTCACACACATGGATGAAACTAAGCTGCGTCTTACCTTTAACGCAGCAGTGGCTTCAACACAGCGGCATTGGTTTGATCACTCATAGGCACATTTTTAAATATATGCTTTGATATTGCCTCTTGCACAGTTGTAAATTTATCCGCTTACATTTTGTGCAAACATTTGGACTTTTAATTGTACTTTTTGTAAATATTTATGTAATTTTATTTTTAAAAAAGACTTCAGTGTGCATTTTAAGGGAAATTTGATTTTTAAATGTAAAATTCAATAACAAGAATTCTAAACTGTAAACCATATAAAACTTGAACCATATAAGACATAAAACTTAAACCCTATAAGACACAGGGCATTTGTCATTTTATATCTGCAACATATTTCATAATACCCGAAAAGGAAGTTTTAATGGATAAAGTGTTCTCTATTTGTATATTCTGTACACATTTATTAACATTACGAACTGTAATAAATTAGTTGTAAATTTAAATTAAATACTAAATAAAGGAATGTGTCCTGTGTAATGTGTTTAAAAGTAAAAAGTAATGTTTAAAATAGTGTACTGAAATTTATTAAGAAGAATTTATGTACACTACTGTTCAAAAGTTCAGGATGAGTAATATGTATTTTTACATTTATTTTAAAGAAATTAATGCTTTTATTCAGAATAAGTAAAATTTTTTAATATATTCAAACAGAAAACAGTTATTATAAATTGTAATACATGGTTCCTACGCAGTTTGGAAAAGTATGGGATTTGATTTAAATTAAGAATTTAATTAAAATAAATTTATCAAACAAGAAGTGTGTTTTCATGGCAGTTGTTTAGTGATTCTTTAGTGATTGTCAAACACAACTACGTGCCAAGATGAGGAAACACCTCCCTGCTTAGAAAGTGCATTTGGAAAAAACAAT